GGTGCTCAGATTTGCAGTAATTCCAAATCAAGTGCAGCAGCAGCATTTTTTACTTGGCTTAACCCAGCACCCCCACCTCTTAACAGCCAGAGACTGCCTCCTTAAAAAATGCTGCTGAGTGGGTGCATAAACCTGTCCTGTTTGCCAACTGTGGAGGGTTCCAGCAAAGCTTGTGGGTTTGTGTAAATAAATTTTTTTCCATAACTAAGAACAGGGCAGTGGGGCTTGTTTGCATTACTGTAACCTGGCAATGGTAATCTGTATGAGAGGTATTCTTATCTTTAAATGCAAAAGTACTTAAGAAATTGGCCAGTACCTTATTGAAGTTGATTGACAACTAGTTGATTGAAGGTTTTAATATACTCTGAAAACTCTAAGGAAATCTCTAGCTGAAAATATATGGGAAATTCTATGCTAGCAAGAAAAATCCTTTAGGCCAAGTTTTAAAGAGTCCCAACAGCTGGGTTCTACAGTATGATGGAATTTCTATGGTAGAAATCGTGCAGGATTTCAAATAAACAAGACAAATATTTTTGTTTGTTTGTTTGTTTGTTTGTTTAAACAAGAAAAATCTTAATATTGTGTCATTTAAATATTTTTCAGTGAAATGTGTCTGTGTTTGATATATATAGTTTTACATTGTTTGCTATACTTTGCTTTATTTCACATTGTTTACTTTTTATTTCAATCTCTTTCTCCAGGATTCTATCCTAGTAACACTTTTTAATCACTAGAGCTACTCTTAAATATACTAATTGATTAAGTAAAGTGTCAATCTACTTCTCCTAAGTAATCATCAGAAAGGCTCTTAAAATGTAAGATATAAACAGAATAAAAGCACAGGACTAAGAATACAATGGATTTAGGACTGGATTCTAGTAAAGTTATTTTTTTAGTTTTGTGACCTTGAAGAAGTCACTAATCTTTCTGAATCTCTTTTCCCAAGGGGAATTTAAAAGGATTGAATCAAGTGATCTCTAAACTTCCTTTCAGCCATGATTCTCTAAAATATTTAAGATCTCCCTGCAAAATTTAGCTAGATACTCCAGCAAAAATTTGCCACAGCTCTTTAAGCCTGCAACAGATGGTAGACTGGACACAAAAATGTTTAGCATTCAGGCTGGCTGGCTCCAGGAAAATAACTATAATAAACACTCATCTCTCAGACTAACAATTTTGTATCATTGAAAGAGCAGCTCTAAATTTTAACTTAGTAACACCTACGAGAAAAAAAAATACTTCCCAATCAAATTAGTCAAGTAATAAATATTTATAGAAAAAGATGCAAGAAGCTAAGTTGCTTTTAATATAACCGAATGCTTCGGAAAATGATTTATATGTAACAGGTTTTTTTTTTTGTTTTTTTCATTAAAGCAAGTTTTTTGTGGAAAGGTTTTTGATAACATTCAATTTCTTTAACAGACATGGGTTATTCAGATTTTCTATTTATCCCTGCATCAGTTTTGATATTTTTTCCAAAGAATTTTTCCACTTCATCTTAGTTGTTGAATATAGTTGGATTAAAGTTATTCGTATGTTATCTTATTCTTTTACTATCTATAGGATATAGGGTAACAGCACTTCTTTCATTTTCAACATTGGTAATTTGTGTTTTATCTCTTCTTTTTTTCATTCAGTTTAGTTAGGAGCTTGTAAGTTTTCCTAATCTTTGCCAAGAACCAACTTTTAGTTTTGTTAATTCACTTTATTGCTTCTCCATTTGTATTTCATTCTTTTGGTCCTTATCTTTATAATAAATTTCACAGGCACACTTAAACAAACATATTGTACTGTTGTTGGAGATAGTCTTCTATAAATGCCAAGAAGGTCAAATTAATTGATGGTTAGTTCAAATCTTCTGTATTGTTATTTATTCTTTTCACTAATTTTCTTATCAAGTACTAAAAGAGGCATATGAAATATTTTCAGCAATATTTATGGAGTTATTTTATTCTTTAGTCCTGTTCATTTTTACTTTATGTCAAAGCTCTATTACTCAAGCATATTCTGTATATTTAACATAAATGTCGATGCAATTAAGTTTCTGTCTACCATTTTCATATTTGTTTTTACTCATTCCATATGATCCTCTTTTCCTGTCTTCTTTGGACTAACCAAACAGTTCTTGTTACCTTTTTATATTAGTAGTTGCTCTGGGAATTACAATATGCATTCTTATCACACACTGCTTAGAATTAATACCTCTACACATGAAATAAAAGAAATTTGCAAGAGTACATCTCGATTTCTTTTGTTATTATTGTCATATATATTTGCATCTCTCTAACTTAAAACTACTATAATAATGTTATAATTTTGCTTTAAATGGTCTATTTTAAAGAAATTTTAAAAATATATTTTCTTTTATATTGATCAACATATACTTTTTTCTTTTCAATTTATTTCTTTTGTAGATTTAAATTTTCATCAGATGTCATTTCCTTTCAGCATAAAGAGCTTCCTTTAACATTTGTTAAGTAAAGATTAATTTTCAATTTAAATTCTAAATTTTTTAATTTGGATGAAATGTCTATTTTCAACCTTAATGTTATAGAATAGTTTCATTAGATACAGAATTATCAGTTGATATTTTTTTTTCTTTCAGCACTTTAAATATAATTTCATTACTTTCTGGTTTTTATCATTTTTGATGGGAAGATACCCATCATTCCTAGAAATGTAACCCTCTGTACAACATATATTTTCCCTTCTAATTATTTGCAACTTTTTTTATTTGCCTTTAATTTTCAACTCTTTGACTATAATGTGTCTACCTATAGGGTTTTTTTGTTTGTTTTTATTTATTTATCCTGTTTAGAATGTGATAATCTTCTTGGATATGTAAAGATGTTTTTTATTATATTTGGAGAAAATTGAGCCATTATTTCTTCAACTACTTTTCCCCCCTCATTCTATTTTTCTCCTTCTAAAACTTCAATCCACACATGGTTGGCCACTTGATATGAATTTATACGTCAGAACTCAGGCTCTGTTCATTTTTTTCTCAATTATTGTTTTTTCTTCTAATTAGTTCCTATTGATTTATAAGTTTAATTATTTTTTCTACTGTCTTCTCCAATATGTTGTTGTTCAACCCATTCAATGAAATTTTCATATCAGATATTATAGCTCTCAGTTCTAAAATTTGACTTTTTAAAATAGCTTATATTTCTGCTCAACCAATGTGGCTCAGTTGTTTGAGCATCGTCCCATGCACCAAGAGGTCGCTGGTACGACTCCCAGTCAGGGCACATGCCCTGGGTTATGGCCTCGATCCCCAGTAGGGGGCATGCAGGAGGTGGTCAATCGATGTTTCTCTCTCATCCATGTTTCTATCTCTCTCTCCTTCTTTCTGAAATCAATAAAAACATTTTTTTTAATTTTTTTTAATTTTTTAAATAGCTTATATTTCTGTATTGGGATACTCTGTTATTATGAACATCTTTTTGAGTTCTTGAACATTTATAATAACTTTTTAAGTCCATGTCTGCTAATTCCAATAACTAGGATATCATTTTTTATGTACGTTAGATTTTCCTGTTTCTTAACAAGTTTAGCATTTTATTTATTGTATACTTAATGTGGTACATTGTGAAGACTCTGGATTCTGTTTTGTCCATGAATGAATGTTGATTTTTTTTTTTTTAATCAAAGTGGTGGCTAAATTACTGGTGTATCATCTTATAATTGTTGAAGCTTGGTTTTATGCTTTCATTAGAGTGAATCAATTTGTTTTGTCCTTAGTGTTAAGGTGAATGCCTTAGTTCTAGATAGTCTCCACTTCTTAGGTGTTGGCCTTCTAGGATTTCCATGGAAAGACTGATGTGTTTACTAAGTCTCAGTCACTAAAATTGGATATTTGTTTATTGGGTATTTAAATAACTGCATTGCATTGTCTCATTATCATATTTAGTCTAGATTCACCATGGAGTGCAATTCCATAGTACTTAAATCTTAGAGTTACATGAATTTGGGAATTCCTTTGTTTACAAAAATTAGGAAATTAATATAGTGTATATACCATATATTATATAACACTCAAGCAGGGTATGGGGCAGTGGTCTCTCATCAAACACATTCATATTCATTAGCTAATATAATTAATATTAATATGTATGCAAAACAAATATTCACATAAAGTGAGAAAGTAAAAACTTTAAATAATCATAACTACTAGTCACTTTAGGTCAGGTTTTGACCCTAAAAGTTTTGGCACAGCCTCCGGTGACATTAGTTTTAGTTTCTGGAGCTTTCTGGATTTTAGAATTGTGGACGAGAGATTATGGACCTCCTATGGCCACACATTTTGAGTAATTGAGAGGAGGACTAAAGAAGGATGTCAGGTAAGAAAAGGTAGCCTAAAAATAGATTAAATAAACCTGTATTTACTGAGGAGTTAGATCCCCAGAAGGCTGCTTTGGGCAAGCTTCGGTCTCCAAGATTTACCCTTTTGCCATTTTCATCTCCACGGCCTGACACAGTACTTGGCACCTTGGCAGTACTTAAATGTTATGTGATGAATTAATGAATGCTACTACCAGGGAATAAGAAAACACAAACTCGTCCTTTTTAGAAACCTCAGTGTTAATTTCTACAATCCTTTCTTTTCATCTCACTCTCCAATCGATCTCAGTAATTTTTCCTGAAAGTCAGTTGTCAAAGTTGCTACACAAAGTAGCAAAGCACGTTTAAGAAACCCTCAGAGCCATTGAAAGGTGCTCTACCATAGTGACTTGTAGTCCATGGTTTCTAATAAAAAAATCATGCAGTGTTGTTCAGACTGCTTTTCCCAGCTGCCACACAGTAAACGTCAGCCTGGCCCACTGAGTGATCATTAGTGCACTTGAAGAAAAGTGTTTTTCTCCTTGTCTTCGTCAAATTAATGGGAACTCGAAAGAGACATGCTAAAAACCTACACTCCGTTAATCTTAGAGATTTAAGATAAAACCAAGAGCAACTATATTCATTTATATGTTTCTGCTATCATAGAAAAAATATACCTGGGTTGTCGCTGTGGTTCTGGCTTGAAGGGTATTTTCCTTTTTTTCAATTTCTAGAGTAAGAGAAAGAAGAATGAATATAAGTAGGAAAAAAATGTCATAGTCTGCAAAATTTTAATTTTATTGATGTTCTGTTATATTATCACAGGGAGAAGGAACCTTTATAGTATAGATTATAAACCTATAATCCATTATAGTATAGATTATAAGCCTAAACAACAATAGTAATGTGTAAGTATACACAGAGGACTATGATAGCTAATCTGCCTCTAGCACCTTTTGACACCCAAAAATCAATTTCTACTGCACAATTTCAGTGCGCAAATATTCATACAAGTCTAATCCAGATGAGAATGCATTTATTTACTTACTTATTTTGCTTCTGTCTTATAAAAAAAAAGATTTAAGATAGTTTGCAAAATATACAGTACATTTGAAAAAGAAAATACTAAAATCAAGCTAAGGGGAAAATATGTATGGAACAATAATGTCAGATATTTTCTGATGTTTCTTGATATGTCTTGCAGATTTGTCTTTCAAATTCCTAGCTATCAAAGTATTAGAGACTGGATTGTGTCTCTCCAGAATTCATATGCTGGAGCCCTAATTCTAATGTGACTATGTCTGGAGTCCTTTCAGGTGGTAACTGAGGTTAAATAAGGTCATACAGGTAAGGCCATATCCAGTAAGACTGCTGGCATGATAAGAAGAGGACAAGAAGCCGGGGAGACATGTGCCCAGAGAAAAGGCCATGTGAGGACACAGAAAGCAGCCGCCATCCATTTAAGCCAAGGAGAGAGGGCTCAGGAGAAACCAACTTTGTCATCACCTTGATCTGGGACTTTCGGTCTCCAAACTATGAGAAAATTAATGTCTGTTGTATATACTACACAGGGTGAGGTATTTCATTATGGCAGGCCTGGCACACTAATACACAAAGCAATGATGAAAACATAGTCCTTCTAACATTTATAATGTCTGTAGCTGAAGCAAACGTGAGTTTTTCAAAAGAAGCTTGGTGTAATATGATGATCGGCCTCTGCAGCATCTCTTCAACAATCACACCAAAGTGTTTAATGTGGATTTTTTATATAATCCTTCAATGTCAGTCAACAGTAGAAAAAACAACTCAGGAAGATAATTCTGCAAGACCTCAGAAGAACTGGGCCATGGGTCTCCTGTCATTTAGTGTGATCCAAAGGTTAAACTGATACCTACAGGCATTGATGGGTTGCAAATCTACTTTGTAATCTGCCATGACATTTATTTTGCACAGAACAGCTTTGGAAGAAAGGTCTCAAATAAGAGGAATTTGAAGTGATCTTGCTAAATCAGTAAAACATTAATGGATTTGGGATTGTTGATGCTGTCTTCTCCCTCAGAATCTATAGGAAGTCAGTAAGAGAAAGTGTCTCAGCTATTGATATATATGGCGTGCTCATATACAAGGAAAATGCTTAGTTTTGCTTTTTAATTTTCAAATATACTTCTAACTACTATTAGACAATTAAAGCCAAAGAAGTAGCTTATATAAAATCTTAGGATATATAAAGGATTGATGTAAAGATGAAATGTGAAAGAAAACTGTGTTTGTATTGCAAAAATACTCAGAACTGAGACACAGAGTAACTGTTTTAAATATTTTAAACACATCATAAATCCTGCATTCTGTCTTAATACTGCTCTCTCAGATGCAATCTAACTTGTTTATGTTAATTTATATTTGATGGCATTTATTTTTTAAGATCAAAAAGTAACTTTTCTTCTATGATTATGTTAGAATGCAACAATAACCTTGAGAATTAGTTTACATCATCTTTCAAGTATTTGTTATTTTTAGAATTCCCTGATCGTGTGTTTTTTAAAGTAAACAATCATCCTAAAAAATAACATTATGCTTTTTTAAAATTTATGTGCAACATGTAGGTAATAAGAAAACATGGAGCAGGACTTATATTTTAAATACTGCTCTCAAGATGTTTCGCGACACATATTCCAAACTTTTGCACATAGCAATGTGCTTGGCTTGGAACTCACTTTCTTTATATGATACTATTTACACTTGCCAACTTAATTTTTTTTACTGCTTCCTTCTTGGCCAAACGAACTGACTGCATGGGCATGCTGTCCATGATGAACGGTGTCAAAGGTGAAAACTGCTGAGTGAAACAGACTCAGACAACCTTTCTGAGGACTTTTCTTACCAGGATGTTCCCTGATGTTTTTCCAGATACTGTCTTAGTCTTGCAACTCCACTGCCTTCGCAACCTCCATTGTTCTTCCTACCTGATTTAGAAACTGTTTCTCTCTCTCTCTCTCTCTCTCTCTCTCTCTCTCTCTCTCTCTCTCCTTCTTGCAAAGCCAATATCAGTTCTTTATTTAGGGTCCTTGGGTTTTTCAGGGTGTGTGTGTGTTTTGTGGGGTTTTCTTCATTCTTAGCTTTGTACATATGTATATATATATTAATCTCCAGTCCATTCTGCCTTAATGTTTTAACTCCATTCTCTCTCAACATCTTTCCTCTCAACTGCCACCTGCTTCATTAAATTTCAAGATCCTGTTCTCTCTCTGACAATTCATTTGAAGTGACACCTTCTCAATGTCTGGCTGCAGATGTAGGTCATTTATTAAACCCTCATGTCAGAATTATCAAATTTTTCACAACCTGTGTGAATTTATTCTAAACCACTTTTCAGACTCCTTACCTTCACATCTTCTTTCAAATTCCACAAATTAGCTGGTACCAAACTTCCTTTGGATAATTTACACAATATTGTTATCCCTTGAGTTTTATTTTAGAGGCAGCTACTTAATCCATCATTTTCCCTCTTCCCCTAAATCTCACAGAATTTCTTTGTTCCTTTTGATAGTTCTGCCCATTTCTTTCATAGTCCAATGATTAATTTTTTGTGCTGATTAACTTTTGACAAACTATGCAAGAAAGCTTTTCATTTTCCTGTTTTAAAAAAATGCACAATAAAGTGCACATGCAAAAGCAGAAGGCACCAAATAATCTAGGACTTTCCACAAGTCAGTATCTTTGCATATGGAATTGTAGAGCCTCGAAGAGCACACAGAGCACCTCTGGGAAGTTGTAGTAGACTCGGGAAATCCCTAGTGTCCCAGGATCCTCTCATGGACAGGAGAAGTCTCCATTTTGAACGTTGTTCTCCAGCGTGGTGTTTCCTTTACATTTCCTAAGAGATATGGCGGGATTCCAAAGCTAATAATGTTGGTCATGCTATAATGGCCACGGCCTCAAAAAGCCATTCAGATTAGGGGAGACTGAAGAAGGTGACCCAGCAAATCATAGGTTGTTCATTTACCAGTGACTAGACAGCATTTCTTTAACCTCCAAGGGAAATCAAAAGAGAATTTATTCTTTTATATGTAGGAATTTAAGCATAACATAGAAGACGATACAGTGACTGATGAGTGGAAGGGAGCTGATAGAGAAGCTTTCATCTCAATGTAAGTCCCTCTGAAGGTTGAAACCCATATTTGTAAAAAATATAAGGCTGCTGTTTTCAGGAATATGTTCATAGTAACAAATCACAGCATAATACCATAATAAATCCTACAACCAAAATGAAAGATATTTTAAATGCATGGCTGAGCTGATGGGAAAGTAATATAATTCCTTTCAGGGTAAAAACAACAAGAAATGTTCAATATACTATGGTATGAGTTTCGAAGCCCGCCTTTGCCTTGGGGATTTCACAGTAATTCCGGACAACCTGGAGCCTGAGCTTTAATGAACTGCATGCCCTAAGGCTTGGGGACATACACTGGGACCCAGAATATGAAGGAATGTCAGAGTTGAGAACACTCTCATAAAACCTAGGTACCAGAAGTGCAATATCCTTAGAGTATAAACCAGAATTTTAAGTTTTCCCTGGAAAGAGGAGAAAGAGAATGAGATAGCATGAAACCATGTCTATCATAACCTTTGTTTTGGGTGGAGAGGGAAAAAAACAATTCCACCACTACCATTACCTTTTGGTGACAAGACCTCATTCACATGGACTTGGAGCCTCAATTCATAATAACTGCAATGATCCACAACCTCCTCACCAAAAGAGAGGCAAAAATTAAAATAAAGTGGTTCCAGGTTAGTAGTGCCACGGAGTACCTGGCAAAAGCAATTGTCAATCATTTTTAGAAGAAGAATTCACAATAAAATACCAAGAAAAATAAGATCATCATCAGAGAAGTCATTAAACATGAGAAAATGAGCAGTCAAGAAGTCAGAAGAAATAACTGAACATTCAGAACCTCAAAGATGCAATACTGAATTAAGATATACAGAATGTAAAATGTGTTAGTCATTTCTATGTGTTTAGAAAATATATTTAAAAAAACAAAAATTATCAAACTTGATTAAGCTTATTCGGAAAGTAACAACTAGATATATTAAAAATTATTCACTGGAAACTCAATGAATAGCAAAAGAATAATAATAAATAAGACATACAAATAAAAAAGAGAACCAATAATCAGAAAGATAAATCGGGGGTCTAAAATGACCCAGGATGCAGCAATGAGAGATAAAGAGATGACAAATATAAAAAAGAGGGCAAAAAAGAATGGCAATTGAATGCAAGACTTGCATATGTCTAAGTCGAGTTTTATAAAATGTTTTTATTAGAATTTATAGAGAAAAAAAATGAAAGATAGCATTTGCAGAGATTCTTTTCAGAATTCTGAAAAACACTGATTTTCATATTTAGGAAGGCCAAAGAAAACAAAACAGAATATATAAAGACAAAACCATAGTGTATATCTCATAATAAAACAGCAGAAAAATAGTGAAAAGAAATCCTTAGAAGTAGAGAGAGAATGGAGACAAATTATTTACAAAGGGAAAACAAGTGGACAAACATCTGATTTTTCAACAGTAACAGTGGCAGCCAGAAAGAAAAAAAAAAGACAAATTCTAAATGCTGAGAAAGTATGGTTAAAATGGAGGGAAAATACACTGCAAATTGAAGTTTTCTGAGCCTTATGTCTAAAAGATAGATGTAGCTCAAGAGGAAAATCATCCTATAGGCCT